GAAGAACGCTCGCTGTCTCGTTTAATCCCTTCCTTTTTTTTTTCTCTATGCTTGAACTCGTTTTTGACTTCCGGCTCGACACGGAAATATTCTAAAGCCTGCTCGAATTCTTTGAAGTAACGCGAAGAACCTTTGAATTCAACGTTCTGAATATTTGATACTGATACAAAATTAGAAATTTAACAATTATAGAAAATCCGAAATAACTCATCAATGTCCATAAAATCTTCAAATGGAATGGTCTCTCCTTTAATTTAATTTTAATTGAAATTATATCTATGAATAAAAACCTATCGAGTTCCTTATTAAAATGACAACGTTATTGGTTGGATAGAATTTGTAAAACTGACAATTCTTCGCGCGTAATAGCAGTCGTGGTGGAGATTATAATCCAGCCGACGAGCGGAACGAGGCGTTACCGCTGAATAATTTGAGGTCGTGTGTTTCTCTGTCGTTTGTAAACGTCACGGATCCGGGCTGCTGTTTAGAAGTTTCTACGGTTTTTCGTTTCTTTCTCCTTTCCGCTGATAAATCGACCCTTTTAAAGCGGGTGTCTCGTACACAAGTAAACGTACACGTACACGTACACGAGAACACGTGTGGCATCCTCGAAACGTCGGCGAAATGATTGAACCTCCGACACGACAGTATCGATACACGTGTTCTATTTTGTCACGGGGTCAAACATGATTAACCCTTTCAGCTATATGTTATACATGGTATGTATGTATTTTAGACACAGACGTGTATTTTATGAATTCTTTCAATTTATGATTTCGTCAGCTTCCTATCAAACACTGGTGTCTATAGAATTCCACGGATGATTTTAAATCAGGAATAACCCCTTCTCCGTGTTCAACCCCCACAAGAGAATTGTAATTTGCATATGACACCACAAATATGGATGATCGTCGGTAAATACAATGTTTCAAGATTATTTTATATATACAATAAAAGTTGGATAAGTACCCGAGCAGATTTATTGGATAACTATAGTATTGCCTCGAAATAAGCAACCCCTCGAGACCGAGCGGCATACAATAAAATAATCAGCCGAACATGAGAATTAATTTTTTTTAAAAGAATAAAAGATGACTTCTTTTCTCATTCTGGCATTAAGCGACTCGCTCTGCGGGCGACTTCAAATAAAGAAGAGGTGATAGCGAATTGCTTATTTTGAGTCAGAGACCAGTTGTTTATTTCGAGGCAATACTATACCTGGTAGCCGGGAACCACCCCTGTCACTTAGGGAGATCCCCCTTGAAGAACTACGAAACTAGACAGGCGAATAGTGTAACCTGATCTGAACTGGAATATCGACGCGACAATACTAATACAACAATAAAACTGTTTGTTGGTATTCAACGATGCGAAGAAGGCTCGAGGCAGATGGAAGGTTCTGGGGCAGTGTTTTTCTTCTGTTTCTCTGTTTCTACAGGAGAGCCTTTAACCAGAACGATTGTCACATCGTCAGTTCGAGAATCAAGACCGGATAGTGCATATGTCAATTTCTGTTTTCTATTCCTTTTATTATATCTATTGCTGTTTTCTCATTCGAGCAGGACACGCGGAGTACAGATTTTTCTGTATTATTTCAAATTTTTGAATAAATTGTATTTAAATTTGTGAATTTACATCACTTGCTGATTTTTCTTTCAATTAAACTTTTACTAATGCAATTGTGATGTTGTATACTGAATAGTCCTCTTGAAAAGTAATACTTAGATAGTCCTCAAACACTAATGATTCATCCGAACTAGTCATCTTCAAATCTTGACCTCGTGACCTCATCTCTCACCGACTACTGGATCCACAATAACTCCTATCTATAAAATACCCAACAATTTTCCCTCCGCGCTGAAATTTTTCCGAACCATCTTAGGACGAGAATATTGCGACGAATATTGTTTTGTAAACTTCGCTTATATTTCACGTTGCGATTAAAGTAAATAAATATCGCGAGTGAAATACAATAGTGAGTTTCTTCTGGATAAAACAAGACCAAACGTGATATAATTTGAAGCATTTTTATTCATTACCTTAAAAAGGGAAAGTACTTCAGATGACATTTAGGTATTAAATAGGTGAAAGAAAATCACTCGTTAAATAAGCAAATTCATATTATATCGTGTTTGGTCTTATTTTAATCAGAAGAACCTCACAATTATATTGGTAAAAGTTTCATGTAACAAAACTAAAAAATAAAAAAAAATGTTGAATTAGTATTGTCTCATCAATGTTTTTCTCGGTTCTTCTGATTCTTGGATCTTTTTCTCTTTTCTTCTTTGTGTTTTTTTAAGTTCAGCAACATTCAAACACTGGGCTCGAACCGTTTCTAAGAACCAAAAAGACACCTCCGCTTACAACTGCCCGGTTTCGGTTCCGATTTTCGGGTAGCTATACAACTTTTATTGTACATTTATTGGGATTAGCGAGTGTATACGATAAATGATGTACGTGCGTAATCTCTGAATAAAACTGGTGTCATATATAAAAGATAATTATAATTTTGATCAAGTATCCTGACTGTATCTTGAGAAATCGTACTTACCGACGATTACCAACGTTATCAGCCTACGTAAGGGGAATAGGTCAATGCGACGGCAGACCAGATCTTTTTTGTGTGTCGGCTCGTCTTGAGAATCGATTTAGCCGACGATTCGTTTATAAAATTTTCTAATTAGCGTAAGAGACACCCGTTATTCTTTCGATAACGTTACGTTAATTCCTTCAGTTACAATTTTATTTAACAATCTACAGTTTTATCTATTATACAACACACACTCGAGAGCCTCTTGGGATGCTTGAAACGCCCGGTTAGATTTACCTCTGAAACTTTAACAAACACCTAATGGTCCGATACAGGAGGAGCGTTCGCTTTGCTAGCTTATTAATTATACAATAAATTAGCGGTTGTCATTTACAGACTTTCTCTACGGTGCTTTTTTTATACACGCTTAGATGTTCCACGCGATCGAGGACCCCTCGGTATTCGCCCCGGCTCCACCTCCTTCAATCGATTCTAAGTTTTTGCTTCAAATTAAACTTTTTGTCGTATATCATACCCAAGTTGAATAAAGAAAAAAAGAAAGAATTTAAATCCAGAGGAATTTTAACTGGCTAGAAAATTGTTATTGATTTTTGAGATTTTGTTGCTGCTACTATCAATCGATGTACTGATAGCTACAAAAAAAGAAGGGAAAGAGAAAGAAAAGGACATAAAAATTAACAAATACTACATCAACGAGCAATGTGAAAGGTACCAGTGTTTCCAATTTTCAGCAGCATGTCGATCGCTGTGCGATATCGTTTACAGGCTCAGAGATAATCGAAAAAATGCAAACGTTCGAACCGAAAGCGACCTCGTATCCGGGGATCCGACAAAACTATTTCCAATATGTTTCCTCGACAAAACGAGGCCAACGCCAGTTATCGAACGAAACTCTTTCGAGTATGGTTACCGGAAACGTCGCGACGATTCTAATGACCGAACGAGAGAGATCGTTGACCGTAATATCGTAGCTGATCTCAGGAACGAGTAGCCCACGTGTTTGGATCCATCCACGTTCCCTGCATATGAGATTCTCCTTACTATTAGCCACGTAGCCGTTTTGTTGCCGTCACCGTGGTAAAAATCCTTGAACCTGTATCCCCTAACGCTAGAAACCGAATCGAAATAAAACGGACGATTGGCTATTGAAACGAAACGATATCGACGAACGAATAACGAGGAAGCTTGCCTTCCTACAGTATTCTTTCTGGGTAACGATTCTAGACATTTGAATTTCAGTATATACAGGGTGTTAAAAACTTCCCTGAAGACCTCTATACCGTTGGATAGATCACGAAAAATCAAAGCGAAAAGTTCTCTAGCATTTTTCGATGGGATCAGTAGTTTAGCCACATTTCGTTGTTGAAAATTAACCAATCAGCGCGCAGCTTGAGTGGCAAGACCCGCGGAGTAGGAGACTAGCCTCCTCTGCGGCTGCGCGTCGCGCTTAAGCTGCGCGCTGATTGGTCAATTTTCAACAACAAAATGTGACTAAACTACTGATCCCATCGAAAAATGCTATAGGACTTTTCGCTTCGATTTTTCGTGATCTATCCAACGGTGTAGAGGTCTTCAAGGAATCTTTTAACGCCCCGTATAACAGAATATGTTAATTGTGAAGAAAATACTTGAAAAAGAATAAAATTATACATCGATTTATCCACTCTTCACTAAACAGTGACAGTGTACACGAGTGGGCAAGGTAAACTACCCTAGGTTAAGGTACCTCTCATCATTCTACGTTAGACATGGAACCATACTGCTCCATATACGCTGTTTTCCACGACTAATAATAGATAAATGAAAAGCTCTCTTTTCCGCCACTCTAACTAGCAAAGAGAACTATCCAAGTGTTACACTCACTTATTAATGAAACTTTGCTAGCTTGTAGAGCTCGTCGAGCTGAACACGCCTATACCCCGTTTTGTGGGCAGACGGCTAATTGTTTAAAAGATATTAACAATTACAGTTAGTTACTCCTTACATTCTGAAGTATGACAAACTCACACATACAATTCGCAATCTAGAGATCCACGATTCAAATCCTTGGTTCCCAATATTTTTTTTTTTTAATGACAATTTGTCTCATTTTGAATAACTATTACATAAAAATTATCATTACATAAAAAAAAACAATAACCCAGGATTTGAACCGAGGACCTTTACATTACGAGTCATGTCTTTAACCACGGAGCAGATCCGTGACTTACAATTTGAAGGTCCTCGGTTCAAATCCTCGGTTCAGAAAAAAAATTTTTTTTTTTATGATAATTTTTATGTAATAGTTATTCAAAAAAAAACAAATTATCATTAAAAAAAAAAATGTTGGGAATCAAGGATTTGAACCGTGGATCTCTAGATTGCGAGTTGTATGTGTGAGTCTGTCATACTTCTCAATGTAAGTAGTAATTAACTTTAACTATTAATATCTTTTAAACAATTAGTCGTCTGCCCACAAAACGGCGATAGGCGTGTTCAGCTCGACGAGCTTTATAAGGTGGCAAAGTTTCATTAATAAGTGAGTGTAACACTTGGGTAGTTTCCCTTGTAAGTGTATATTTGCCTTTCAACAGGCAAAAGAAGTCGACGTTGCCCGGAGGTGTACCATCATCGTATTTATTGGCTGCACGTGATCCTCGATCGCGGTAACGATCCATTTTCTCTACATCTTTGATCCACGAGGCACGAACATTAGAGCCCCGTTCGTTTTATCCGCGACTTCGACTGTCGTTCGTTGATCCGTGCCTTCAGAGGCCGTGAGATTCTCGCCGGTTCGAGAGAATACTCGCGAGACATGTTCGATCTCGTGATGGCTCGCGAAGTTCGTGTGTGCCTGCGCGCGTCTGTATGTGTACGTGTGCCTGCGCGCGACTGCGTGTGTGTACGTGTACGTGTGGGTGTATGTGTTTACTAGGCGTTCGAGAAGTTGCAGGGTTCTCGACAGACGATGCCGGTGACCTGCGGCCCGTGTCACGAGCCGAGCAGACACGTCGACGACGATCGAAGCAGACTGAGCAGCGGAAGGATTGCGACGAGGAGGAAACTCGACGATCTCAAGAGACCACCGACCTCGTTGCTGTATGGTAGCTTGACCTCGACCTCCGCCATCTTGAAGATCGAGAGCAAAGGGTGCGTGTGCACCTCGTGATGCTTGTTGTTGATCTTGTCGCTGAGATCCTGTAACATCGAGGCGCACTCCTCCTGAAAGACAAAGCACCCGAGTTTGTTATCAGGAATTTCTACCAGCAGCATCTTGGGTTAAAGGGATGAAATATGGGCAGGAAAAATATTGTTGCATCGAGGTCTTGGGTGTGCCACTGTAAGATATACTTTAAAGGGCACAAGCGCCACTACGCTTTACCTACAATATTTACGATAAATGTCAGCCCATTTTTTATATCCGTTTTATATGAAAGAAACGTATCCCGTACGTTAAAATTATATCAATTTGAATTTACAAGTTTATTAATGTTGCAAGAAGGCTTATTATACCAAACACATTTTCTGATCAATTTACAAGCGGTACTCGAGTATAAGGTTTATAAATTGAGCTCTGTAGCCAATATTAATATTAAATGAAATGTGTGTTGATTTTACGTGAAGTACTTGAACCACGTTTTCTAGCAATACGGCGAATTCCGATTGAAAATGTAAAGTTGGAAAATTCGAGAGACCAGAAGAGAAATAACAAATTGATTGACTAATTGATTAACTAATTATTTAAACATACATTTACATTTTAATTAACTTCGTTCGACGGTATATTTCTAGGGTCACCCTTTTCATCAATTGTTCGGCAGCCATTTAATTAAAATCTGAAAATTCAAATCGTATGAAGTATTTGAGGACGAATTTGACATTATCCGCAATGATTTAATTAAGCAAAACGATAACAAAAGGTACAGGGTATTTCCTTTGTAATCAGCAATAAAATCACGTTAGAATATTGTTCAGTGGCCTGAAAGTTTGCCATCTTTTGTTCTACCCTTTCGCAATTCCGCTCAACCCTGGGCTGGTTATTTCAGATAACAAGTGCTAATTTTTCCGCGAGTATCGTTGCATTTAAGCCGACCATCGCACGGGAAATTATACTAACTTAACAATAACAGGATCCCTTTGTTCACGAACCTCTTCTCCGCGCTTATAAAACAGCCAGCAGCACACTTTGTTACCCCGAAGGAACTTGTTTTCCAACGTCCTCCTTTCTTCTTCTAGTTGCATTCCTATTTCTGTTCATCTCCCGATTGCGAAAAAATACAAATCCTTCGCTGATGTTACAAGACAAAGGAATGATAAAAAAAAGACCAACATTTTCATCAAGGATTAAACAACGAAAGTTACGTGTATCCTTTAAGCCGTGAAGCGGAATTAAACCGCGTTGAAGGGGCGTATCGTGAATTTCCAGCCCTTTAATAGGTACAATTTTAATTCAGTCCCTGTTCGAGTCTCGACGAATAATTAAATCTCTTTCAAGGTCAGCAGTGCGCATTAACTGGAAGAAACGGGGTTCGTTTCCCTTGCAAAGTTTTTCCATTTCGTGTAAGGAGTGAGAGAATAGCGGACATTTTCTTCGGGGATCCGTTTTCCCTCGGTTTCGACTTAACGACGTCGAATGTAACTCGTCCTCGCGTTCCTACCACGGCGCGGCGCATCGATTTCCATTTTCATCCCTCGTATCATTTTCTCTCTTTCTTCTCCCTTCACGTGAACTCTCGCCAGCATCACGATGGTTAAACTTTCTCTCTCACCTTCCTATACCTTCACGTACTTTTTCCTTCTCTTCTCCATCTTGTTCCACGTCCCCGAAATTACCCTCGGCTCGTTGAATCTTTAATTTCCGGCGTAGAAGAGAGAGACCAGAGCGATTTTTGGCGATATTTTCCTACGGTGGTGCGTTGTTACGCGCGAGGATGTGCGCCACGTGGGCCGACGAGCCGAGCCACGACGCCCAGGACGCCGACGACGTCACCGGTTATACTCTTCTGTCTCTCTGTTCTTCTTCGGGCTGGTTCTCGTTCGAAGCACCGACGTCGGATTTTCAATGAAATTAAATTCCAACCGAAAGGAGACCACCCCCACGCGCGCACCCTTTCGAATAACTTTTCGCGAGCACCGAGACCAGGTAGTCCTTTAAATTACCGATGCACCGGGAATTCGTTTTTCGAAGTAGCTTCATCCCTCTCTGCGATCCATATCGATTCATCCACCCACCCCGTCGACTGTCTGTCACGCGCTTCGAAACCTCCCCTTCTTCGTTCGTTTTTCTCAATTTTTCACAAGCGGAATATTTTTTCGTTCTCTCGGCTTTTTAACTACTTGCTCGTTTTTTCTTTCCCCTTTTTTTTTCATACAACGAATTTTGTAGGGTATCGTTGGCTGAACGACGGATATCCGCGGAAGAGTAAAATTTAATATGCGGAGAAACTTGGAACGAGAACAGAGATAATCGGATGTTGTTTTGTAAAGAATTTTGTAAAATGTAAAAGCTTAAAAGACGGATGACGAAAATTTTTGTGTGAAGTTCAAATTACCAGCCCTGCAAAGGATAAACACTTCTTCAGCAGTTTTTCATTAAGAAGAAAAGGTTCTTTATAGTTGAGAAATCTTTCAGTTAACTGCTTAAGCGCGTTATTATTGATATAGCTGTATATCATTGGCTCAGATTGGGAAAAAAAGTATGGCGATGCATCCAATTATTACCCGTATAATTGAATAGAACGCTCGGAGTAATAATGATGCATAAACGACCTGGTCAAAGCCCAGAACGATAACTCATTTTACACATTGGCCGGTGCTAATTGTAGCATACGAGTTTCTCGCCCGATGCGGCTTCATTAGCGAATATTCGAACCGACCACGAATTTCGTTCACCTATCTCGTCGCCAATTTCAACAAATACTTTCTAAACTTACATTTCACTCGTTGAACGTATAGAACGATAATTAATACTTTAGTTCCGTTGATTTTTCAATGCATGTTGAGTAATTTAAAATTTTAATTTAAAAAAAAATTTATCAAAAATTTTGTTATTTATTTAATTGGACATTTTTATCAAACTGCAACTGAAAATATCGGAAGTAAGCTTATTTTCACGTTAAATGTTAAGTTATTTAATGTCATGACGCGATCCAATTTTTTCGTGGAACATTCAAGGCCACGATGGATTTGAAAACATTCTTCTACAGAAGACAGGCTCGACTGTATTTCACTGAATGTAGTGATTACAGATACAAAATGACTGAATATGCCCTTGTTATTGAAGGATTATGATTTTGGGGGCCCTAGACAGCCCTGAAAGGTTTATGAGTTTCTTTTTTAACATATCTCGCCCTCACAGCTGAAAAGACACAATTTTGACTCCCTTTGATTCTATTTTTTTAAAAGTCAGTCAAAATCAACATAAGACCGAAAAATTATTAAACTAATTGTTTGACAAACTTGTATTCATCTAATGGGCCTTAATAAATCATTTAATTTCCTTTTCGAGTAATTTAGATAATTTACATAACTTCTTTCCTCAGATATTTATCTACATAACATTTAATAACTGTTTGATCTTTAATAAATTATAAGCATAATATACATGACAATTAAACTTAAATTAAAACATGTTAATTAGTTCTCAATATTGTATAAAAGATAGTAATTAATACAAATTTACAGGATATTTACGCATAAAAGTTATAAAAATATTATATTCCTACGTAGTAATAATTATAATTATAGTCAATAATAAAAATAATTAATCAATATAGTCAATAAAAAAAAATAATAAAAGCAATAAATTTCAAAAGTTACAACAATAATTTAGTTAATAAACAATTGCATAATGAAAAATTATAATGAAATAAATTTTAATAAGATAATATATCATTCAAGTAAAGGTAGGCGGTCTCAGTGACCGTCGCGATGGTGAAACGGAACGTCATGGCTGATAAGGTACCTTTAATTTCATTTCGGAGTTTATTTAATTTACTTTATTTATTTTCCTAGCTTATTGAATAAACTGATAAGGGGGATGAAATTTGTGATTTTATCCCTCTTTGTGAGTCTCGCGGGGACGACCTTTCCTAGTTATTTGTTATTTTATCCCCCTTTATGGACTTCAAGGGAACCACTCTTCCCAGTTATTTAAAAAACTAACTAATAAAGTATCCAATAATAAAGGATAAAATAATGAATAAGTGGGAAGGGTGGTCTCCGCAAGACCCACAAAGAGGGATAAAATAATAAATACCTGGGAAGGGTGGACCTTGGCCCATAAAGAGAGCCCACGATTTCTAAGAAAATAGACTTAAAGGGAGCTAAAATTGTATTTTTCCAGTTATTACTGAGAGGTGCAGTAAAAGAGGAACTGGTAAAATATCGACTGTGTTCTATAGATACAGACCTAACCTCACCTGGGGGTGTCTGAGATCCCCAAAATCATGACTCTTCGAGAACAAAGGTATGTCCAGCCTCGTTGGGTCTGTAGTTACTACCGAATGGAAACAGAGAGAGAAACAACTTGCTCGATTAGATAACTAATTTCGAAGCACGAAGCATCGCCAGAACGCGACGTCCAATTAGCGAGAAACGTTTCCTCGTGTTTCTATTTCGTTGTTGCACGGAACAAGAAATAGAAGTCTTGTTCTCGTGGCCCACAAGGAAGAGAACTTGCGCTTCGACGGAATAATGATCAACTGGTATTCGAAACAACGACGCGAATGTTCATTCGAGTCTGTCTTTGCTCGTTTAACCGGAACATGATACAGAAATTTGACAAGAGAGAATGTGTTTCCGTTTTAGAAAAATCGCGAAAAGATTCAAAAAGACTGAATAATTCCCAAGGATTCCCTTATTTCTAATACGTTCCATAAATGCGACAATTGACTAATCCTTCGACCATCCAAAGGAAGTTATCGGAATTAACATAATCCTTGGAGTTGGATAAACGAGGAGCGCAACTTAGAATGTCGTAAACTAATGAGGTTCGTTGGAATGATGGATGGAGAAACGCGGAACGTAACATGTGGGTTCCCTTGCACGATTTATTCGTATCGCTAGCTGAACGACGGCAGCTGGAAGATTGGTTGCATGCGAATGCCATTATCCATCGACAGAACGAATCCTTTATTAACGACGGGCTAATTGAATTTCTGATGGTGGATCGGTTGCCCTGACGCGTTGGGATTTCCTAAGAAACAGAGAGATGAAAACTC